AAAAAAGAAAACAGAAAAAAGAATAAAGAAAAAAGAAAAAAAAAATTCAGAAAAACCCACAACCACCAGAAAAACCTGCATCAATAAATGTAATTTGATCGTTTTTCAGAAGCCGACAGTTTGGGCTCTTGTTTCCACCCCTCCTCGCTCTGGGTCCCTCCTCGGCTGCACGGAGCTTCACAGTGTCGGGTCGGAGCCGGGATGCACCCAGCGGCGGCGGGGGGACAACAAGGGAGGACCCCCCCCATCCSCATGCACCCCCCCACCTCCTGGGAAGGGGGGGGGCTCTAGTCGGCGCCGTCGACGTGGAGGCGGGCGCGGGGGGTCCCGTGGCGGGCGCCCCCCGCGCAGGGGTGCCCGTTGAGCTGGGCGGGCGCCTTCTTGGGCGCCACGGGGCAGGCGGCCCCCGCGGGGCAGGCGCGCTTGGCGCTGGGCGCCGCGCGCTGCATCTTGTGCTCCAGCAGCATGTGGTTCTGGGGGGGCAGCCCCAGGCAGGCCCTGCGGGGGGGCAGCRRGTAAGGGGCACCGCGAGCAAGGGGYACCGCGACCCCCGCGGTGACGGGGACCCCTGAGTGTTGGGGACACTGCGTGTGAGGCACCAGGGCTGGCCGGTGTTGGGCGCGCTGGGCATGGAGCCCTTGGCATTGGGGACACTAGGGCTTGGGCCCTGGGACCCCCTAGAGAYGGGGCATGAGGAGCCCCTGGTGTTGGCCACCTTGGGCACTTAGACCCRTGAGTCTTGGGCAGCCCAGATGTTGGGTGACTTGGGCACATGGGTGTTGGAGCCCTTGGGCACTGGGTGCTGAGAGCCACCAGTGTTGGACACCCTGGACACTGGGGGACCCTGGGCATTGGGCACGGGATTCCCAGGGACTGGGCACCCTGGCATTGAGCAGACTGGAAATGGGATACTGGGACCCATCAGCACTGGGCACCCCTAGTGCTGGGCACCCTGGTCATGGAGCACTGAGACCCATGACCTTCAGGAACTGGGACCAACCCGCTCTGGGACCTAGTGGCTTTGGCCACCCCGGACACTGAGCGCCAGCACCCAACGTGTCTTTGGGCCCTGGGCCATCAGCTCCCAGGGACACCAGGACCCAGAGCCGTGGGCACGAGGCTCTTGGTGGCATCCAACACCACAGCAGGGCCACGCGAGGTGGCACCTGGCCACGTTGGCAAGATGCCACCAGGGCTGGCGGGGTGGCAGGGGCGGCGGGCAGGGGCCGGTACCTCAGGATGTTCTCGATGCAGCTGCGCTGGCGGAAGAGCGCGTTGACGACGGGGGCCCCGTCGGGCACGAGCGGTGCCTTGCACAGGAAGGCCACGATGGAGAGGACGCTGTGGAAGCCCTGGAAGTCGGGGTCGCTCTCGGTGCAGAAGGTGATGCGCTGGCACAGCTCCGTGAGGATGGCCAGGTCCAGGATGATGGGGCTGGCCAGCAGGGAGTCCTGGGTGGGGGTCCACAAGGGCTGAGCCTCTGGCCCCGTGCGACGTCCCCTCCGTCCCCAAGCGGCGTCCCCGCTCACCTCGCACGTGTTGTGGATGACGATGGTGTTGGTGCCGCCCATCATGATCTCCGATGTGTACTCGTCCAGCGCCCGCTTGCTGTCGCCCACGTAGGGCACGTACTTGATGACAACCTGCAAGCGAGACCCCATGAGCGCCCGGCCACCCCCATGGACGTGCCCCCTTGGTGTCCCCCCCACTCACGCAGTGATCGGGCTTGTCCTGCGGCCCGTACAGGACAGGGTTGGCCTGCACCGTGTCGTCCACCACGTTGCTCTTGGAGATCTCCTTGGAGCGAAACTGCTGCGGCGCCGACAGGTTCTTCCCGTCGTTGTTGCCCAGGTGGTTGTAGCTCACGATGGACTTGGCCTGGCACAGGGCAGGACATGGCGGGGGTCACGCGCGGCTCCCGGCCCACGCGCCGCCCCACGGTGCCCCCCCACGCGCACCTTGAGGCCAGCGCCCACGAGGAAATCCACGAGCACCGACTTGAGCTTGGTCTGGCCCGACTTGAAGTCGTCGCCGCAGATGAAGACGCGGCGCTGGGCGGCCAGCTCCACGGCGCCCGGCACGAAGGTGTTCTGCGGCGAGCCGTTGATGTAGGCGCAGCCCTCCAGGATGCTGGCCACGGCGAAGAGCGTGGACGGGGACACCTCGAGGCCTCGCTGCGGGACGTGGGGCGGCTCAGTGGGGCGCCCGGCTGCGCCCCCGCGCCGCCCGCGCCGCCCGCGCTCACCTCCACGGCGCGCAGCAGGTTCTCGGCGGTGTCGTTGAGCCCCGGCACCACGTCGCAGAAGCGCTCCGTGTTGGCYGTCCACAGCACGATGACCTTGTCCACGCCGCTGGCCTCCTTGAAGTCGCGGATGTCCCGGCGGATCTGCTCCACCTGGGGCGAAGCAGAGGCCGCGTCAGCAGCAGGGATGGAAGGGGAGCCCTGGCCAGCGTCACGGTCCCCCTCTGCGCCCTGGCACCTGCTCAGCCTTGGAGCCGCRGAGCACGTTGTCCGCCCGCTCCTCCTGGTTGGCGGCGATGAACTCGGGGATGTAGATGGACGCCCGCGGCTTCAGCTTCTCCATGTGCGGCCAGAGCTGCTCCTGCAGCTGCCAGTCGAGCACCTCGGCGCGCCGCATGGCCTCGGCCAGGTTCAGCGAGGAGATGTCCCAGCCTGGGCACGGGGACGGCACATGGCTGCTGGCCCCGGGATGTCCCCCCCGGCCGTCTCCAGGGCCAGCTCACCGTCAAAGACGATGTCGTTGGGGTGCACCATGGGCAGCAGGTCGCGGAAGGGCACGTAGACGTCGCCGCCGGCGCCGGTGCCCAGGCACACGGTGGAGGCTTGCAGCAGGGAGCCGTAGTAGTTGGCTTTCTGCGGAGAGGGACACGGGGACTAAGGACAGGGGACACGGGGTGGCACCTTGTCCCCCTTCGCCCATCTCTAAGGACACAGGGTGGCACCTCATCCCCATCTCCAAGGACAGGGGTCACAGGGTGTCCCCTCGTCCCCCTCTGCCCTTCTCTGAGGACAGGGGACACAGGGTGCACCCTTGTCCCCCTCTGTCCGTCCCTAAGGACAGGGGACACAGGGTGTCCCCTCATCCCCATCCCTAAGGACAGGGGACACAGGGTGTCCCCTCGTGCCCCCCACCTGTCTCTAAGGACACAGGGTGTCCCCTCGTCCCCATCCCTAAGGACTAGGGACACAGGGTGCCCCCTCATCGCCCCCGCCTGTCTCTGGGGACACAGGGTGCCCCCTCGTCGCCCTCGTCTCACCTTGCGCCCGGTCTTGGTCATCCAGGAGAGCCCCAGCCTGTTGGCCAGCACGGCGGCCGTGACGGTGCTGCCGTTGTTGCCGCCCCAGCCCACGAGCATGAGGCCCAGGCGGGGCACGTGCCGGGCCGTGCGGAAGGTGAAGCGGGTCGAGCAGGGCCGCACCTGCGGGCACAGCGGGCGCGAGGCCGGGCGGCGCCACCGCGGCGGCCGCGGCGCCCCGGGCCCCCGGCGCTACCTTGGTGAGGCCGCCCTCCTTGCACACGTGCACGGTGCTGTACGTGTAGCGCGCCTCGATGAACTCCTTGCCGTAGGTGACGTCGGGGCTCTCCACCACGAACGGCTCGGCCATTGTTCCCCACGCTGCAATGGCAGGAAATGGGTGGCACCGGCGGGTCGTCCCCCCCTCCTCCGCCAGCCTTTGCCACCGCTGGGGACGGCGCGGCGGCCGCGGGCCCTTCCTGCGGGCGCCCGGGGGACCTGGTGGCACCGGGTGGCTCCGGGAGCGGGAGCAAAGCGGTGCTGGGCACGGGGGAGCGCTGGGGGGGTCCCCAAGACTGGCGGTGCCGTCCCCGCTGTCCCCTCCCGCTAAGGCTGGCCACAGAGGGGAGAGGGACACAGGAAGCAGGGCTGTCCTGCTACCAGCGGCGTCGGAGGGGACATGGGGACACGGGGCTGTCCCCGAGCCCCGGGGCAGCAGAGGCACCAGGGGACACAGGGACACAGAGGGTGGGGCTGTCCCCACACCCAGCACCGGCGGAGGGGACACGGGGACACAGGACAGGGCTGTCCTCAAGCCGAACGGCGGCAGAGGGGACATGGGGACACAGCGACACAGAGGGCAGGGCTGTCCCCAAGCCCGACACGGGGACACAGAGCAGGGCTGTCCCCACACCCGGCGGCGGCGGGGACACGGGGACACGCGGGCACGGGACGGGGCTGTCCCCGCTCCCGGGACTCAGCCGCGCTCCCCGCGCGCCGCAGCCCCCGCCGGGCAGGCGCCGCCGCGCTCCCCCGTCCCGCCCCGTGGGCCCCCCCGAGCGGGTCGCGGCGCGGACACTCACCGGGACCGGGATGGGACCGGGACGGGACCGGGA